AAATTTTTGTGAAAATAGCTCATTGAGTCACCTAAGGTTAGGGGTATATATCTATCCTTTACACAAATATAGAATTTATACTATTTGGTCTAAAATGCATATATTCTCTCGAACAATGTACAATTCACTAAACACAATCATTCATTGATCACATAAATGAAAATGCAATAAATAACAATAGTAAAAACACATGTAAATAAATAACTTAGCCCTTGTTTGAGCCCCCATTGTTTTGAAAAATACATTTTTCAACAGTGTTTTGACATCATTTCAATCACACATTTTTAATAAAATAATATTACATATAAATCCAAAATTTTTCCTTATTTTTAACCATACATTTTCCATTAATACACTATTCAAAAATTCATTCTTCCCAAAAAAATGGAGTTCAAACAGGGGCTTAATATTAAAGGGGCAAATATTAAAATCAATTAAAAGCTAAGTTAAGTTACTTCCATAAATCCCAACTCAAGTAATTAGCCCATATTATATATGTGATAACAAGGGAGAATATTCATCCAATATATTACAAATGATTGAAAATAATAAAGAAAATCCAAGATTTAAGATAAAACCCTTTTTTTGTTGGATTTGCTTGAATCTTGAGTTCGTCAATTAATCTCCACCTTCATTTAAATTATTCTCCTTCTTGTGCTCTTGATTTGCTCCAAAATGCCAAGAAATTGAAAAGAAAATAGAAGGAACAAATGAAGAAAAGAAAAAAAAAAAGAAAAAAGAAAGAAAAAGAAAAAGTTAAGAGAAAAATCGGCAGAATGAAGCAGAAGAATGGGAACCCAGCTGCTGGTTTTCATTATAAAACCTAACCAAATTGCAGCCCTGGTCCCTAAATTTTCAAAAATCGTGCAAAAAGGTCCCCAACTCTTTTTTTAATATCAAAAACGATGCCTAGGCGCCGGAATAGTGGTGCCTAGGCTCCCAGTTTCTGTTTTCAATTCCAAAGAAAGGGATTTTTGTAATTTTTGTAGTTAAGTCCTTGAAATAATTGCATCTCATGTCCCTCAACTTTTATTTTGTACAATTTGGTTCTCAAGTTTGACTTTATATCATTTTGCCCTCCATAAATTGCAGTCCAAAGTCCTCAACTTTTGAAACTTGTACACTTTGAACCCCAACTTCACAAATTTTGTAAAATTTTGTTCATTTTTCCTTCCTTTTTGCCTTGTTCTTTTTCCTTAGGTGATTTTTCGGCCTACAAAAGCAAATATTACATAATTGTGAGTAGAATTTCATTCATTTGATCAATTAATAACGTATTTGATATTAAATAAATGTGTAAAAATACACTTATCACTCATATTTATAGACAGAACGACACAAGTGTCGTTTAACGGCTCTTGTGTCGTTATGTTGATTTCTTAAATATTTTGCTTCTTTTTCGACACAACGGCCTCAAATATTGGATCCCTTAACTTAAAAAAGTCGAAAATGTTGATCACGTGACAAACAACGATTTAAATGTCATGGATAATATGATATCGAACTGATGAAAGCATAAGTTATTCTACCGATTCATTTGAAAATAATTAATGAACACATATCTCAATTTTTGTAAGTGACATGTCCATTTTTCAACTTAAATAAGTTCAACTTATTCGTTCTCAGGGCATGGATGGGTCATAACTGCTTATATTCGTGTTTATAGACAAAACGACACAAGTGACGTTTAACAACTCTTGTGCTGTTACATTTATTTATTTCCAACGCAAAGACCTTAAGCATCGGACAACTAGAGTACGTAAGACAGAAATGTTGATTTCTCAGTAATGATGTTTTTTACGTTCTCATTAAAGTTTGTAACAAACATAACGACATATGCGTCGTTCTTATCTCCCTCTTATAAGTTCAGTAACGACACCTATGTCATTCTCATGGACGCTTATGTTTTTAATAACGTAATGTATGTCATTATCATGGAATAACAAACTGAAAAGAAATGTATAATTGAAATGCAAACATTTAACTTAAAAAGATATTAACAAAAATGTAGGAAAAATCAACAGAACAACACAAGTGTCGTTATTGAGATGAAAACGACCCTTGTACCATTATGGCGTTGTTTGAGCCCCCAAATTTTTTCTCCAAAAAAATAAATTTCGCAATAATGTTATGATGGAGAATGTGCGGTTAAAAAATAAAATATAGTTTTGAGTTTGCGTGTAATATTATTATATTGAGAACATGTGGTTGAAATGGAATCAAATCACTGTTCAAAAATACATGTTGATGAAAAAAGAGGCTCAAACAAGGGTTATATGTGTAAATACGAGTATATGCAGTCACGTCTTAGTTGTGCCTTGAGAAACAATAGTGAAACTCACTTACGTTATTCATGACATTGTCAAACTTCCTATGTTACATATGTTAGGGAGTCCATTATTAAAGCCTTGTTTGTTTCCCATTCTTTGGCCAAAAATATGAAAAATATGACCGTTATTTATCACATCAAGTCATCATATTTGACTTCCTATCTCTTGTGTGAGTTTCATAATAACTATATTTTTCATTCTCATTCTTATAATAATGAGAATCAAACGAGGGTTAAATGCTGTTCAGTTAAAAATTTCAGAACGACACAAGTGTCTTTACTGGACATGAAAACGGCACTTGTGCTGTTATGTTTATAAATACGAGTATAAGCAATCACAACCCATTCATTTCCTAAAAAATAATAAGTAGAACTTATTTATATTGTAATATACACATGACACGTACAAAGGTTGAAAGATATATTCATTAACTTAATCGATACAGATAAGTATGATAACTTGTGCTTTCACAAAAACCACACTGAATACGAAAACAACAGCAACTAAATATATTCAATACTATATTTAACAATAAAAATACAACCTACATGAGATTTCTAAGATCTTCTTTCTTCAAATGTAAATGTGATTTTTCAATGTAGATGATATGCTAACACAGCCCTTGTTCAAATACTCACAAGATATCCAAAATAAGTGAATAATATGATAGCAAAAATGATGATTGAAATGTGTAATTTTGATGACCTAAAATTGAAGAAGATGAAAAGGAGAAGGAGATGCTATTTTCAAAGAAAAAAAAAAATAGAAATTAAGGTTTTACAGTGAATTTGGAGACGAGCTGATGAAATGAGGAAATTTGGAAAGTTATTAACAACTAAAGGAGAATTTTGTCATTTTACCAACTAAAATATTATTTATTTATTTTGTGTTTTATTATTGATCAAAGGCCATTTAACTAAATACATTGTCCAATTAGGCCAATTGGCCAAATTCCCCAAAAAGAAAAACAGAAAAGGGAAAGGGAAAGGGAAGGAAAAGGTTAAAAAAAAAAAAAAAAAAAAAAACCACCACCATTAAACAGGAAATAAACAACAGTAATTCAAACACAGGATAAGTTAGCAGAGTGCTTGATCAATTCAATACGTACAAAATGCGTTCAACTTATGGACGCTTATGTTTTTAATAACGTAATGTATGTCATTATCATGGAATAACAAACTAAAAAGAAATGTATAATTGAAATGCAAACATTTAACTTAAAAAGATATTAACAAAAATGTAGGAAAAATCAACAGAACAACACAAGTGTCGTTATTGAGATGAAAACGACCCTTGTACCATTATGGCGTTGTTTGAGCCCCCAAATTTTTTCTCCAAAAAAATAAATTTCGCAATAATGTTATGATGGAGAATGTGCGGTTAAAAAATAAAATATAGTTTTGAGTTTGCGTGTAATATTATTATATTGAGAACATGTGGTTGAAATGGAATCAAATCACTGTTCAAAAATACATGTTGATGAAAAAAGAGGCTCAAACAAGGGTTATATGTGTAAATACGAGTATATGCAGTCACGTCTTAGTTGTGCCTTGAGAAACAATAGTGAAACTCACTTACGTTATTCATGACATTGTCAAACTTCCTATGTTACATATGTTAGGGAGTCCATTATTAAAGCCTTGTTTGTTTCCCATTCTTTGGCCAAAAATATGAAAAATATGACCGTTATTTATCACATCAAGTCATCATATTTGACTTCCTATCTCTTGTGTGAGTTTCATAATAACTATATTTTTCATTCTCATTCTTATAATAATGAGAATCAAACGAGGGTTAAATGCTGTTCAGTTAAAAATTTCAGAACGACACAAGTGTCTTTACTGGACATGAAAACGGCACTTGTGCTGTTATGTTTATAAATACGAGTATAAGCAATCACAACCCATTCATTTCCTAAAAAATAATAAGTAGAACTTATTTATATTGTAATATACACATGACACGTACAAAGGTTGAAAGATATATTCATTAACTTAATCGATACAGATAAGTATGATAACTTGTGCTTTCACAAAAACCACACTGAATACGAAAACAACAGCAACTAAATATATTCAATACTATATTTAACAATAAAAATACAACCTACATGAGATTTCTAAGATCTTCTTTCTTCAAATGTAAATGTGATTTTTCAATGTAGATGATATGCTAACACAGCCCTTGTTCAAATACTCACAAGATATCCAAAATAAGTGAATAATATGATAGCAAAAATGATGATTGAAATGTGTAATTTTGATGACCTAAAATTGAAGAAGATGAAAAGGAGAAGGAGATGCTATTTTCAAAGAAAAAAAAAAATAGAAATTAAGGTTTTACAGTGAATTTGGAGACGAGCTGATGAAATGAGGAAATTTGGAAAGTTATTAACAACTAAAGGAGAATTTTGTCATTTTACCAACTAAAATATTATTTATTTATTTTGTGTTTTATTATTGATCAAAGGCCATTTAACTAAATACATTGTCCAATTAGGCCAATTGGCCAAATTCCCCAAAAA